TCTTGCTTGACCAATCTCATTTCCTTCTATGACCAGGTGACCTATCACCTGGACAAGGGAGATGAGATTGATGTCATATACCTTAACTTCAAAAAAGCCTTCGATCTGGTATCCCATGATCACTTTTTGGAGAAACTAGCCAAGTTTGCCGATGACACCAAACTTTGGGGCAAAGCATCCACACCAGAAGACAGGCAGGTGATCCAGGCTGACCTGGACAGGCCCAGGAAATGGGTGGATGAAAACATGATGGTGTTTAACAGAGAAAAATGCAAGGTTCTCCACCTGGGGAAGAAAAGCCTGCAGCATCCTTATAGGCTTGGCAGTGCTACGCTGGCTAGCACTATGGAAGAAAGAGACTTGGGATCATCATTGACCACAAGATGAACATGAGCCTGCAATGCAATGCTACAGCTAGTAAAGCAACCAAAACGCTGGCTTAAATCCATAGATGCTTCTCAAGCAAATCCTGGGACGTCATTCTCCCCTTGTACTCGGCCTTGGTGAGGCCGCAGCTGGAGTACTGCGTCCAGTTTTGGGCTCCACAATTCAAAAAGGATGTGGAGAAGCTTGAGAGAGTCCAGAGAAGAGCCACGTGCATGATCAGAGGTCAGGAAAGCATACCTTACGACAACAGGCTGAGAGCCATGGGGCTCTTTAGCCTGGAAAAGCGCAGGCTCAAGGGTGATCTGGTGGCCACCTATATAAGTTTATCAGGGGCGACCACCAAGTTCTGTGGGAACGTTTGTTCACCAGAGCGCCCTGAGGTATGACGAGGTTGAACGGTCATAAATTACTGCGAGACCATTTCAGGCTGGACATAAGCAAGAATTTACTGTCCGAGCCCCCAAGGTCTGGAACAGCCTGCCATCAGAGGTGGTTCAAGCACCTACATTGAACACCTTCAACAGCAAAGTGGATGCTTATCTTGCTGGGATCCTATCCTTTGGGCGGGGGGCTGGACTTGATCTTCCAAGGTCCCTTCCAGCCCTAATGTCTATGAAATCTATGAAATCCTTGATATAGTACTAAGACTGTGCTCATGCCCTCAGCAGAAGATCTTCGCCTGGAGACTGACAGGGAAAATTATGCCTTCTGATCTTCCTAGTTCTTTCTGTGGTCTTCAATACTGTTGGACATGAACCTCTGGTAAAGCATTTACAGGCCCTCTACACTTGTTCTGATTTTTTCTAGCAGGGAGGCCTTAGAAGGCAGTGATGGCTCATTATCCCCTTGGGACCTTTCCTCTGGGGTCCTCAAGGGCTCTACCTTGCTTTCTGTCCTGTTCCATGTGTATACAAGGCTGCCAGATGAGACTGTGCAGAGCTTTGGAGTGAGGTGCCCTTAGTATGTTAACAATACCCAGTTCTACCTCTTCTTTTCTGACCCTGGCCCTGCAACCTCAGTCCTTTTCCAGTGCCTAGCTGTAGTAGGGATTTGGATGTGAATGAACTAATGGCAACTGAATCCAGACAAGGCAGAGGTGATGGTGATAAGCAGATGTCTTGGGTTTGGGGGGAGGATAAATTTTATTGTTTTTTTACATCCATATAAGGCATTTATGTATTTGAGCAAGTGTTTAGTAGAGGTGCACAAATACATCGGTCCAATTGTATCAGAACTCGGCCTGATATGGCCAATAATTTGGCTGATAAATGCCTTGCATGCACACAGCTACAGCAGAGCATGCAGGCAGCAAGAAGCACAGCCGAGCAGCTTGGAGAGCTGCTGGTTCAACAGCCCAGCAGTTGATCTGCATCCTCCATGCCCTTTCCCCTTACACCACAACAGACTTACCAGCTGCATGCAGCTGTATCAGAAATCAGATTGGTATTGGCCAATACACCTCCTTAAAAATCAGCTATTGGTATCGGGTCCCCAAAATCTCTATCAGTGCACCCCTACTACTGTATTTAGTACTCACTGATGGGATTCAGCCTCCCCCGATCACTCAGGTTTGCAGCCTGAAGGCGCTCCTGGATCCTCTGCTACACCTGGATCTTCAGGTGGTAGCAGTGGCTAGGAGACCCTTTCACCATTTACACCTGGTGAGAAGGCTGCAAGCCTTTCTTTCAGATTCAGATCTGGCCATCATCATCCATGTCTTTGTAACCTCAAGGCTAGATTACTGCAACATGTTCTGCACAGGGCTTCCCCTGAAGACCATTCAGTAGCTGAAGCTGATGCAAAACACAGTAGTCTGTCTTGGGGAGGGCAGAAACACATAACTCCAGTGCTCCAGAGTTTTTCACTGGCTCCCAGGAGCTTCCTGGGAGCAATTCTAAGTGCTGGTTTTGACCTAAAAGGCTCTAAACTGGGGTACTCAACCCCCAGCCAGCTTGTGGGTCATGTAATCTGGCCTGTGGGGCTCCCCTGGCTCTGAAATTTTAGCAGCCGGGTAGCAGTGGCAGCATTAATTGCCTCTTTCCTGCTGCCAAACGTCTAGACCCATGGGGAGCTCTGCTGGCCAGGGAGCATGACCCTACATCAGGGGAAGGCAATTATTTTGGGTAGAGGGCTTCTTAATGAGTTTTGGCAAGCCATTGAGGGCCACATGACAGGTAGTCAGGGGCAGATATATATTAATTTTCTAAATTTTTTAGGGGCCTCACGGACCAGACAGAACGGCTTGGTGGGCTGCATCCAGCCCGCGGGCCATATTTTGCCCACCCCTGCCCTACATGCTAGATTGACTCTGCAGGGCCTAATACAGGCAAGCAGATGCAATACAGGGCCTGATCTTGCCCATTTATTGGCTCTGTGCCCCTTATCCGCCCGGTAGGGCCAAAAGATTGAGCATCATTGCCCTAAGGTCCCTATGTACCTAAGGGGCTGCTTTCTCTCTTATACTCCATCGCAATCCCCAAGGTCAGCTGAATGCAAACTCCTGCAAGTACCATCAATACACCACGTCCACACAGGAGGTTGTTCTCAGTTGTCGCTCCGCAGCCATGGGACACCCTCCCTCTTGAGGCCTGCCAGCGCATGAACCTGGACACCTTCTGGATGTGTTGCAAGACATCTGTATTTGGTCAGGTGTTTAATACTCAAGGCTAGGCTGTATTAGTTTTTAGGGGATATTTTTATGTTGATAATCCTAGCTTCCCTTTAAATTGTTTAGTTCTCTTGTCATTTTCCTGTTTTCCAAGCTGCTTTGTTCTCTTGTTGTAAGCTTCCCTGAGCCTTTGTCGAGAAGGACAGCATGTAAAACTGAATACATAAATAAGTATTAGGACAACATATTCTACACAATGGGGGCATCTACACATGTCCCTACAGCACCGTTATTACTACACGGTCATTTAATACTTCCTAAAAGTAGTTTACTTCCTAAAGGAAGTACTAAATGACGGCACAATAACAGCTGTTACTGTGCCTTGCCAGCAGCACACTGTCATTTTTAGCTGCTACGTCACCATAGCAACGTGCTATAGCAAAGGAGTGTGTTACTATGGCAACATAGGTGTGGCATCACAGTTTGTGCCCACTGGTGCTACGGCGGCAAAGTGTCTCGTGTAGATGCACCCAATAAGAACAAAATCCTTCAAAATCATGATATCCACATTTTACTACTAAACTATCATAATGTTTAGACACAACCTATGAATAAGGTAAGCATTATTTTCAATTGTAGAAAGCAGAGAAATTGAGACAGAAGGATTTTTAATGCCAGAAGAGGCTTCTACATCTGGGGTGCCCAATGAGAGAGACATGCCAGTACAGACTGATTTTCAGAGATGCCAACCCCCAAGTGAACTTTAGTTAAAGTCAGCAGGACTATAGGTGTGCCTAGATTCTTTTAAAAAGCTCCAGGTGTTTCAAGCTGGAAACCTAAAAATGGAGATATTCAAAAATTAAAGGCTGCTTTGCTCAATATCACACAGCCCATCAGCGTTATAGCTGAGCTCAGAACACAGGACTTCAAGCCAAGTGCCCAGCAGCATGGACTCCTCCTATCTTCCCAGTCTCCTGAGTACGCGCACACAGTGCGTTTTCCCTGGTATAAGGGGAAAGCATTAGTTTTGTAGTCTCATGTCATACAGATATATTTACTGGCAATAATTTTATTCCTTTAAAAAGAAGGGCTCTTTTCACAACACCTAAACAACTATTTAAATGCCCCTCAAAAAAGACTTTTTAGCCACTTTTATTTTAAGTTAAATACCCAGAAAATGTGATTCTCAGTCCTGGACTGACCTTTTCACTTTGTTTTACACTATACTATGCACCAGCTCTTCAGCAGAGAAGCATAATAAGTAGTTCAAGTCAGTTTTCACACATTGTTCCACTAAAGCCAATGAAAACAAAACTGACCTTTAACCTGGTTTAACAATCAGCTGCCTCCTGTGTAATTAAATGCAAAGCTTTTCAAGCGTTCTTTCAAATTTGGATTGAAGTCATCTACCATATACAGTGTGATTATATGAACAAGTCAAATTTTAATACAAGGATCCTTCTTGGCTAAGTTTTGTAATGTGTGGACATGTAACAAGGTGTTTTTTTTAAATTGCAAAAGCAATATCCAATGAAAACACATACATAACAGAAACAAAGGAAAAATAAAACCACATCATAGAAATGTCAAGTAGCCAGTAAGTTACTAAAAACTCAGTGTAAATTACTCCTGTGACTGATTAATCTAACTATACAAACAAACTCCATTTTAGAACAAAGAATTGTAGGGCTAGCCAAGTTGATTCCACGTGCTTTAACAGAATACAAAAGACTTCCTATAAGAATGAACATCAGTGAGTTGAAACTATTAACAACCCAATTTATCTTGATTGGACAGAGCTAAATGACCTCTCACCATCGTAATAGGTTGAAAGGTTTGAAATGTATCAGGTGTAACAGTTTCACGTTTTTATTTAAATTAAGGCAGTCTTACTATCGTGACGTTCCTACAAAAGACAGAAGCAGAGCTTGCCTTCTCGTTGAACTGATCTTTATTTTCCTATACAAGAGGCTTTTCATGCCTCAAACTAAAATGCAATACTTACTCTAAAACTTCATAGTTGGACTTCTTTTCTAGTGCATTGCCCCTCATCTCCCCGTAGGATCTCCTAAAGTCAGGGAAAAAATATTTGCAAGCAACAATTATTGGATGAATTAGCCCAAAGCTAATATGAATGCATTCAAAGCTTTCAGCAACTTACTACTGAAGACCCTTTACTTCCAATATTTATTGACATAGTATACTCTATTACCATACTTTTTTTTTTTTTTTGGAAAGTCATTTCATACACAGGACACTCAAAATCAAGTACATGTAGTTCCTTGAAAGCAATGGAGAGAAATCTGATAGCCACAATGTGCTCAGTAAAAATCTTGGAGATGAGACTGGCTTAGGGAACTGCATAAATATATCCATTGCACTTTCTGAATCCAGGTGAAAGGGGTTTTAATTTCCACATAGGCAACTTTCATTTACTCATGAGTTACCATGAAGGCTGGCAGAAAGGAGTTCATGCCCTTGCTTAAATACTGACATGCCAATTCCTACTCATTGCTAACCCTACTAAAATTAGCAATTTAATCCTGTTTTATTTCTTAAAATCACTGTTCAGTCTGTACTTCTCCTTTGTACCGTATCATCTTATTTACCATTCCTTTTTTATTGATCTTGTTACTTTAACTAATCTTCCTGTGGTAGACAACAGCAGAACTCAAATAATTATCAGAAGCCCAACGTTCTCCATTACACAGTGAAAATACACTTCAAAAGGTATAAGGGGGCCATTTGTTTCAAGACTCTTGTAATCGGATAAATACACATTTACTTTCCCAGAGGCTTCTGTTTGCCAGTTTGACATAGGAAGAATTACATAAAGTATCAACACAGCTTACAAGGTTAGATCATTTAGCTTTTCAGAAACTTCTCTGTAAAAATACTGGTGTTCTTAAATTAGCATTTTAAAAATCTTGAATATTTTGTCAAGAGACAAAAGACAGAAATACTTTATATTTAATTATGTTCTTCACCTATAATATTTATAGAAGTATGGGGACATGAGACTATCTGACTTATTTTCCTTTGAATATACTAATGTATTCTGTAGGCTAAAATATTCAGTTGCAAATATGCACCAAATAAAAGCAACATGAAAAGGCAGTTAATTGGAATTGTAGAATTAATCTGTAATAAAAAATACATTAGAAATAAGTTACTGTATAGTCTGATCATTTTTTCCTTTGAAATGATAAATTCGTTTTCACTAGAATGCCATATAATATTTTATTCATATATATTGATCAGGGAATCAAGAAAACTATGAATTAAAAAACAGTTGCAAAATTAATGCATACCAGTATGTTAGAAATGAGATGAATAATAAATATGCAAAATTATCAGCTTACCGGATTTCAAGGCAACCTAGCTTCAAAGCAATTTCCTGGTCCACTTGATCTGCTATTTCTAACATATAGTCATTTTTCACCTACAGTAAAATAAGTAGGTATGTGTCACATAAGGATAAAGTCAATGTTATTGAAGGTTGCTTCATTTGACCATCATATAAAATATTTGGTAAACTACTGTCCAAGCAATTTTGGATAGATCTTTGCCTTGGGAGCAAATTTCCTGTATTTTGGCCTATTCCCATCTGCATGAGCAGAGAAAAGGTATGGTAGTGATTTTTTTTGTTTGTTTTTTGAATATGGGAGCTGAGCTCCTCAGAGAAATGTCCTTCTATTACAGCAAACTTCATATGATTTGCCTCTTGTTGTGTCTTTGTTACAGATATAGATTTACTAATCAAAACAGTCACAAAGGCCAGGCTTGCTTGTGCATTTATATTTACACTCAATTTATGAACTGCAGTAAATACACATGTCCACTTAGACAAGTAACTTTTTTTTTCACTTGGCATGTGCCATCAGAAGAACTGTGCGTGTACATCACCCATACATGTCAGATTACTACTGTACAAAGAGATGTGCATGGCCATGGGAACCTTATCCACTAGTAACCGTAAATTAATATTCAAAATAATAAGGACAACGCACCTCGCGCTCAGGCAGATTTCACCAAGTCTAATTCTCAAACACCACGTACAAAAAGGAAAGACCTCTCAGTGAAAAGGACTGGAATGCAGAAAAGGGAGTGCCCAAGAACGGCATTGTGGACCTGCTGTCCTGACTTCACTGTGAAAGGCATTCCTAAGACACGTCATTTCAAAAGAACAGCATGCGAACTTTTCCCTTCATGGTTCACACTGCATTTTAGTTGGTAATAATGTTGTAATCCTGTTATTGTGATGGCCAGGGATCCTGGTTTTCTCTAATAAAAAAAATTGCAAATTCTTTGATAAAAAAAAATAACACAACTTCTCTGATTAAACCCCCGCAAATATGCAATTAAAATGAAAGGCCCCCCACACAGTCGCCTGGCCCTGCTCGTGCTCCTCACTTGATATCACAAAACTCAGTGATCTCCCTGCAGATCAGGTATGAAGAGATGGTGTATGGTGAGCAGCCACACTTTCCAAAATGAGCTTTGATATAGCACTTATAATGATAACAAGCATTTGAAAACCCTGTGACTAATGAATCCTCTTTTAAAAGAGGAGATGATAGAACAACTAATATTTGGAGCATAAGAAAATATCTGTAGGTATAAATGGTATAAATCAATTTTAACATGATCACTAAAAACTCTGGAAAAAACACGTTGTTATGGACTTAAGGTGAGAACGAAAATAAATGCAAGAGCTCCAAGAATGTCAAAAAGCCTCTTGCATCTGGATGGTGTTCAACATTTTCACAAACAAAAAAGCCCTCTTAATCCCTCTTAGTGCAACTCAAATACATACTAATCATTTAATAGTAATTTTAACATTAAAGGTTGAAATAATTGGTTCTCATGAATGATTTATAACCATCCTTTGAATTAATACACACACGTATCATAGTCATAACTCCTCATAGTGCGTTTATCTGTGTATAATAGTGTATTATATACACACAATGATAGTATAAAATGAGATGACTTGCATTAAAACATGCATATTTAGATTTGACAATACTTTTCATGGATTAAAAAGTGCTTAAAGTTTAGAGATACCAAACTTCAGTTCCACAGGGAAAACACCTAGTTTATGTAGTATACCTGACTCCTAGAAAGAAATATGGATTTAAAATATCTTGGTAATCAACAATAGCTGTAAAACAGATACTTTCCCTGAAAGTTAGAATTTAATATACTATGCATTACAAAAAACTAAAGAATCTTTTAAGTTCCTAAAAAAAGTCCTATTACATCAACCTGATAAACATTTTTTGCTTTAAATGAAGACTCAGATCATCTAAATTTTATGAGATAATTTTCGTAATGGAACCTATGAAGCAGGGGAACTGTCAACTACAATCTTTTCTTTCAGATTAAGCGGTGTAATTTTTTTTACTTGTTTGAAGACAAAAAATTGTATAAAGAATTTCAGTGACTCAAGTTTTGGCTGCAACAGCCCATCCTCCACTTGTCAAAGGCACAGATTCACCGACTGCCTTCGTATTTGGGCTCTGGGAGGATGCTTAACTCTTAGCACTATTGAGCTCTCAGGAAACTGTTTTCCTAGGGAATACGATCTTCCATCTTGGACTAATTGGAGATATTGTCCTTAGAAAGGACAGGATGCATAAGCTTGCCCAGCATAAGCCTTTGCCTGTGAACTGTGGTAACATTTATTTAGTCTCGAAAGCATCAGCTCTGAAGACACTGCAACTCATCCAGAACACAGCAGTCCTCCGCCTTAGCAATACAGGCTGCAGACAGCCCCTCATCTCTGCACTCTACCAGCTCCCGGTAGCACCCGTGTGCCAAGTCTAGAGTCTCAGTTCTTATATTCAAGCCTTTAAATGGTCTAAACCAAAACTAACCAAAATGACTGCCTCATCTTTTGGCAATGTATTTGGTAGCCACGTTGCTCTGAGGCAAATGCAAAAGTCTCAAACCCGTGGTTCAGAGATGATACCTTTTATTAGGCCAACTAAGAAATTGAAAAAAAAAATTATCTTTCTGTACCAAATTAAATTTATTTTTCTACCTATGGGGAATTATATACCATCTTTAATTTTCCTTAAGCCTGAGGAAGGGTGTGTGAGCCCAAAAGCTTGGAAAGAAAGATAATTTTTTTGTGATTTCTGAGTTGGTCTAATATTGCGGTTCCCAACCTTTTTTTGCTGTGACCCGCTGCTGGGAGTGAAGTGTGGCAGTGGCGGTGACCTTGGGACAGGGATGGGGGAGCTCTCATCATGCAGCGTGGCTCGTTGTTTGTATGTGGCACTGCCAGCATTGCCCCTGCAACCCTCATATGGGTTGTGAGCCAAGGTTGGGAACCACCTATCTAATAAAAGGTATAATCTCTGAACCAAGTTTGAGAGGTTGGCATGCCTCATCTTTTAGCACCTCAACTGACCTCAATACCAGTTCCTGAGTTGTGTCAAAAGACAACAGGAGAAATGACATCAGCTGGTAGTCTAGAGCTTGGCAGGAAATTCCTTTCAAAGGTATGAACAAGCAACCAATTTACTATGAAATTATAAGTGGGTGTGCATGGGGAAGAGCTACTATGTGTCAGCTGTTCCACAATAGCTGTCCATCTGCACACTCTTACCCTGCAGCAAATGGAAACTATATTATGGTAACTTAGCCCTCTTTCAGCAAGGAACGGAGGAGAAATCTCACAGCAGATGCTGGTTTCCTAGGCTGCATTGACAATTTTTGTAAAAAAGTTTTCCCATCGCTGTAACTCCATTAATGCCAGCAATGGTGGGTGTTCTAGTGTGGACAAGAAAGCCCAGAGATAAGCATTTTGTCATCTGAATCCATCTGAAGCCAGGCTTCAAGAAAGAGTGGTTACACACTGGCAGCTGCTTGCCTGAACTGGCATTCTTACTTTCTCTTTTGATAGTAGGATGTTTTTCAAAAAGCAGCAGCCCTTGAACAAAAAAGGACTATATCTGGTAGCATGGTGAGAGGCACAGGAAACTACCTAAATACCTAGTTAACTTGGGATTCTTGTAGCTCAGTAGGGACTTGAATTTTTAAGTCAAAGACCCCGCACTGAAAATGCCAGGCCTAATTCCACTGCCTTTAAGCCAAGAGCTTTTTCTCATCTGCCCACATTACTACTGTAATCAAACTTGGAAGTACCTAGCTGGGGACTGCACAGCAATATATGATACTTGGTATTCTCTAAAGGCATAGCTACATAGGAAAAACTGCGACGTTAAATACATTGAATTAAGGTATGAATTTAGACCCCATATATCCCTACGTGGATGCTTGGATTCAAAAGCGAGTCAAGTTAAGAGAACCAAGGTTACTTTTCTTCTGAACAGCAGTCACGCAGGCTGCATACACCTGTGCAGATGATCTGGGAGAATTCTTCCAGGTTTGTTTTCCTGGTAGAAAACTTACCTGGAGACTGCTGCACAAACAGTTAAATGCTGAGCCCTTGGAGAGCTTGCAGTGCTGATGCTGCATGCACAGCCAGAGGGTCTTGGCACACACATCTCTGCAGGCTCTGCAGACTTCCTCAGCCAGCCTGGAGACAAACGATAGCAGTGCACAGGGCAGCCTTGGCTGGCCGGCCCAGACTGCTTGGAGTCAGCCTGTGTCTCCCTGCATCACAATGTGGGATTATGAAGGAGGCATGTTGTTCTGCTCTCTGCTCAGCTGCAGCAGACAGTTTTCCAGGGGGTGGGAGCAGAAGACTGGGAACAAAGAACCCTGGGGTGTTGGAGGACTGTGCTGTGAGTGTATACAGATATTTGCTCTGTGTACAGGGTTGGAAGCCTGCTTGAAGAGAACTTTATTTTTCAAGGGAGTTATTTAACCCTGGTTGTTCCCAGGTAATTCCCAGGGAGTACTGACTCCCCCAGGAGAAACTGAATGTATGTACATGGCCACAGTTTTAACCAATTATAACCAACATATTTTACATTCAAATCTTCAGTTACTCCACTTACCTTTCCCAAGAGTTCTGTACAGATACACTCTGAGTTACTTCCTGAAAAGCTGACAGTTCAGCCCACTAAGCCCATTTGTTATCCAAACTAAATTTCATCAACTCATTCACTTAGCTCTAGTGGACGTTTTCAAAAGTCTCACTTGGTTTTACCAACCTAAAGAGTTTTGTATCAGCAGCAAATTTCACCAGCTTGGTATCCATTTCCTCCCTCCAGTCACTAATACAATGAACAGAAATTGAGGAGAAGCACTCTGAGGTGCTTTGGGTTAGGGTTCAA